GGCGGAGGGGGGAAACTACACCAACACAAATTGCAACACTCTCCGCCTGATCTGATTGCTACCTACCTCCAATGTAACTCTGCTGCCGCATCTGTTGGTTCATCTTTCGCATCGCTCAGCTTATAGTACTCGTACACGTATGAGGTACCGCCATTGGGGGTATGCAGCTGATGCACCTGATGCGCAGTACCCAAGGCGCCCAAATTAACCGCCGTACCAGCTGATTCTATGCTCAGCTGTTGCTGCGCATGCGTCTGCTGCTCATGGTGATGCTGTTGCAGGTGCGTCTGATGGTAATGTGCAGCATCGGTATGCGCTTGTTGATCGTGCTGCTGCTGCTGCTGCTGTTGATGCTGTTGGTGATGATGATGCTGCTGTTGCTGATGGTGTATATGATGTGGATGCGTAGCGCTATCGTTTGGCGATAGACTGAGTAGTGTTTGTGGTGTTGCGGCCGAGACAACGGCGGTCAAATGCGTCGGCTGTGGATCGAAGTAGCGTGTAGCGCTGCTAAGCTGATAATCACCATTGTGTTGTTGTATGATCACTTGTGTTGTTGGATCATTGGGACTGTTACAACCACCCGCACCGCCACCGCCGTTGCCGTCGACGACGCCCCCACCATTGCCATTGGTGATGCTCGATGTGAGCGATATGGGTAGGGTGTCTTGCTGCTGCTGTTGCTGCTGGTGTTGGGAATGTGACGGTGGTGGCAATGGCGGTGGAGATGAAGCCATCGATTCGATGCTGGTCAACACGGTGCGGCGCCTAATTGGAGAGTAATGTTTTTAAAAGCTCCATTCACGCTTGCTTGTGTATCTTAATGAAGCTATTTTTTTGTTGTTGTTTAAAAAATAACAGTAATTCTCGTTAACATGGGAAAATCATCGTACTCGGATACACAAGAAATCGTGAATAGAATTCAAGAAGAGTTTGTTATTTTAAATTTTTATTGTTGCTTATTTAGTTTTTAGTTTTTCATCGTTTGTTAGCTTTTGATTTTTATTTATTGTTCGTGATTGAGCTAGAATTCATATTGGATTATTTTCAGATTTTTAATGTTATGATTTATGTTTTAAACTTATTATCTACATAAATTATTGATAACTTTATTTTCTTACATACAGCGGTTATATAAATGATGCATGTCTAAATTCAAAGAGATGACTCAAGCGGCGTTAGAGACATTTTTCGGACCTTACCCCCTATAAAAATTTATGTGAAAAGCGCCGCAGATAAGAGCGCGCTGGGGCTAAGATACTTTTATTCTAGACCGATATAGGGTAGTGTACAGAAGTTGCGATTGTCATACCACAGACATAAATTTTGACTGCAACTTTAAACTCCACTTATCTGACAGAAAATAATGAGAACATAATATCGCTCTATACGATGTCGAGTTCGCGATCTTCACAGATGGCTTCAAAATGGAAATTGGAACAAGCTTTGGTCGGAACTTTCAGAAACACTTTGAGTGAGGCTTGAAGACTTCTGCGAATTACTGCGGTGTGTTTCAGGCTGGCATATATGCAATTAACATGGTGACTAAGCTGGTAAGTTTGATCCCCTAGCTGCATACGAACTCACCTAGGTTGTGGACGGTGAAGCTGCTATCAAGACCCTTGAGTCTATATACGTTCAAGAATAATCATTTGGTTCCATGAGACAGTGGCGCTCGAGTGCGAAAGAAAGGGGTCTGAGATAGGATTAAGGCAAGATACAGGTTAAAATCATGTATCCTTCCTTGTGATCCCTTTTTCCACAGGTTGAGAAGATGGCTAGGTCAGCTATCAACAGATGATGAACTAATCAGCGTACATGCACTGCCTTTACTTTAGCCAGTGCTCGGTGAGCAAACTACACTGGCCAATTGGCCATATCTCCCTGTCTCCCTCTGTACAAGCTGTGGAGATGATAACCAGATGCTGGATGGGACTTCGTATGCGAGTGCCCCGCGGAACCATTATTTCTACGGAGAACTCCATTAGAGGGGTTTACTACAATTTGGTCAAAATGGTTTAAAGGTTATATGTATTTGTTATTCAGTTTACAATTACAAAATGAAAAATATTTCTTACTTTTGTAATCGCTTTTATAATATAAAAAAAAATATGTTATATTCTTTTATTTGAATTTAGTTTAATTCTTTTATCTTATTTCATTTCATTTTATATTATTTTTTTATTAATTTATTTTATTTTACCTTATTTAATCTAATTAAATTTTATATTTTCATTTTATTTTATTTTATTTTAAATTATTTTATTTATTTTAATTCAATTTAACTTAATTTAACTAAATTTAATTTTATTTTACTTTATTTTATTTTATTTTATTTTATTTTATTTTATTTTATTTTATTTTATTTTATTTTATTTTATTTTATTTTATTTTATTTTACTTTATTTTATTTTATTTTAAGTTACTTTGTTTGATTTATATTTTATTTTAGTTTTAATAAGTTTTTTGTTTTTTCTTCTTATTTTTTTAATCCTGCCTTATTTTTAATAAATGTTTTCTTTCTTATTTTTTGTCAACAATATTTTTACGACTTTGCTTGTATCGAAATATGCTACTTCAATAATTTTTAGTGGTTGTGTGTGTATTTTTTTTTAGCAATGACGTTTAATTTTTACATCTGAAAACTTTCGAACAAAAATTAGCCAATAAAAAAAGAAATCACAAGACAGCACCTGGCAGGAAATAGTAAACAGTAGCAATGAATTAAAAAAAAATTAACAAAATGCAGCGCAAGCAACAACTTCTCATGCCCCAAAAAGCGCCTTAGCACAAAAAGGGCACTCCAGTTAGCGAACGCCTCGCTTTGACACTTCAACGCGGCCAATAATTGTAATTAGAAAAGGCACCCGGTAGCAGAAGTAGTACGAAGCGACAGTAGCAGAAGTAATAATAAAAACAACAACAACAAGCTTTTTTATTTTCCGGCACATAATACGGAAGGGGAAGTGCAGCAACAGTTCAAAATATTAAACACAAAAGACATCAAAACTATAAAAAGCCAACAGCCAAACACCGAAAAATAGAAAGAAAATACATAAAAACTATTTTTTTCTTATCCAACAAAAATGTATAACAAAATAAAAAAAGGAGCGAATGTGTGAAATAATAAGTAAAAACTTTTTGTTTGAATAAAAAAAATGCTATGCAAATGCAAATGTTACTCGTCAAGGGTTAAATGGGTGCGAAAGGATGCCGAAAACGGTTGGCCGAAGAAAGGATGTCGTTTAAGTAGCGGCGGCGCCTGTAATGTGATAGCGTATGCGAGTGAGCGTCGAGTGAGCGTTGAATTCACACATTTGCTCTTCGAAGGCATAAATCGCCTGCTGGCGCTTTAAAAATATTGGATGGTGTTGATGTGCAAGGATATTTTTGTGCGGATGTGTGTGTGTGTGTTTGAATATCCTGCAGCTCTGCGCGTTTGGTTCAATATTTTGGCTGCTGTTTAATCAACTGTGAGACATTTTCATATTACAACATACCGCTTTGTACAACAATTCAGTACTTTCTTACACAATTTTCGGCGTTTTTCGGGTGTTGTTACCTTTTTTTTTTGTTGCATGCCCTACAAGGAAGAAGAATAAAGGATGTGTGTTTTTTGTGTGGAAATTCACTTCCTTTTATGAGTTTAGCAATTTAGAGCGCAAAATGTACAACGTAATATTTTACTAAGGAAACGGAAGTTTCAATTGACTAAATTAAAAAAAATCATTACATTTAAAGAAATAGTTTCATGTAAAATAGAGGAAACTCAATTAACTTAAGTGCCATTAGCATTGAGGACAACGCGATTAGTTTTCTTGCCATAAGTGTGTAAGTCTGATTATATGTGTCCGAGGGATTACAGATAGGCCTTTTAGCCCGATTTTACTTCTTACAAAGCCCTTGAGCGATAAATGGACATCCACATAAATATAGCAGGGGATAAAGAATGCTTAGCTGTAGCTCGATTTCGGTCCAATGGTATCTGCAAGTTAATATTTCCACGAGACTACTTCGGGGTGGACCCTAAGCGTTATACTACAATCATTGCTGTAGACCCTGCTTGGTAATCAACTTCTAAAAACAACTGGAAGAAGCGCCAGTAGCGCTTAGAAAACGTGCGAACCATGGATGGAAAATTAAACAAAATTTATTCAGGAAATGGAACCCAAAAGAGACAAGTGTATGTACCACAAAGTGTTTTTATTTGTATATAATTTTAAAATTAAATATTAAAATTAAAAAATTCAGAAAACCATACCATACATTCATCGACTGATTTATCAATGTTTGAGCAGTGAATCCATATCAATCTGGGCGTCGTTATAAAATTGTGTATACATAGTCATGAACGATTGTTGCTGAATGGCGTTTATTTAAATACAGTATTGCTATATTTTGAATACTACATAATTGAAGTGGGTTTACACTACTGCAATAGGACGTTAAAACTTTAAAACTAGGTAATTATGTTACCATCAATTACTTATTTAATAGGCAAAAGTCGAAAAGTCATCGAGTGAGAGTCGATTAGATTCGACTTAAAGCGGCAGAACTCGATTCTAAAAAGTAAATTTTTTTCGATAAAAAGTCCATTTTTGACTAAAGTCAGAGTCGACCTTTCCAGCCCTAGTATAAACACGTTAAACAAATATGGCTATAAAAAATATTTAAACATCTCGAAATTAAACATTAATTTCATTTTGGGATTTGCTTCGAACTGCCTTGAAATGAGACCGAACTAATCCCAAAATTGTCCTGAAGGGATTCTGGAAAAGGCATGAACTTGTCCCGAAAGATTCTCGAAGAAGTTTTGAAACGGTCCAGAAATCATCCCTTTCTAGTCCCACAGTCATCCCCAACTATTTCCAGAATGGGTCTGAAATCGTCCACAACAGGTTCCGAAACGACCCCGAACTAGTCCCGAAATGGTCCGGAAAATAGCCCAGAAATAGTTCTCAAATAGTAATGAACTTGCTCCGTAATTTTCTTGAACAGGTCCCGTAATTATACCGAACTAGTCCCGAAATGGTACTGAAATAATCCGGAACACGTCCTGAAACAATACCGAAACGGGCCTAAACTAACTGCGATCTAGTCCTGAAATAGCGTTCAACTTTTGTACTAGTGCGGTGTTACACAAGAACCAGTTACGAATTTGCTGCTGGGTTAACGAAAACTTTACCCATTCCGAGAACTAAGATGTGTGCACATCAAATATGGAATTATAATGAATTTCTTCAAGCAGTTCGAGGCAGAACAATATTTTGTTCTTCTATATGACGTTTTGAAACGAAATATTCGCTGTCTACCTGAACTACTTATGCACCATACGATGTGGCGCTTCAAACGATACTAAACGTTCTACTGTCTATGTACGTAAACTGCATCTGCTTGGCGCAATCAACTAGACTTACCTTACTTTGAGCACCCTTCCATATCTAATTATTTAAAAAGAGAGAGAATGTTGGACACCCGAAAATGCGTTGAGTACAATTGTACTATCTTTTCCATTGAGGATACGGACGTCGTTTTGGTTTTAATAAGCGGCAAATGCCTATCAACAATAATCTCCCTAATGGACAATTCCTTAAGGTTATCCACAAACGGGCTTTTGATGTTCTATTAACCGTTAGTGGCAAGAAAACTGACTTGATTCTTTCTGCCATGAAATACAAGGTTGTAGGTTGGGTCAAGTCAAGACCACAAGGAGAACACCCCACAACAAAGATATAGCCTACTACGTGATAGGTATTGTGTTAGACAGC